AATTATGTAAAAAAGGATTTGGGCATATTTCTAATACTTTATATTAATTAATCATATTAAAGAAAATCAATCCAATAATGGAATTATTTTCTTATTTGATGGTGAGTCAACAATTTWACCTTTTGGGTTAAATGTGCTAATCCTTAATGTCATAATTAAATAAATAATAAAAATTTAAAAAAAATTATAAACATAGAAATATAACAAATATGAAAATTTTTAAAAATATATTTTTTACTACCGTTATGATAAAAAATTTCCACAYGCACACTTATTAGTAATATATAATTCCTGGGTCTGTTATATATGGAAATCGAATCGATTTGAGACTGGCACTGCATGTCCCGAATCAAAGCTGATTCATTCATACCTCCTATGCAATATCCAGCCCAACTAATTCGACTTGGGCATATCGATAATCGATGTGATCGGGATAAGGACCGGTTTGTAAGCAGCGCCTCGCCGCCTTGTCATGTAGCCAACTAGCCATGCACGATCAGTTCAATGCCGGGTCCTAGGATTTAGATGTAGTCAATGTTGTCAGGCTTGACACCATAAAAAACTGTTTTGGTATCTGCATCATGGGTTGGACAGTCAACTGTCCGATTAAGATAACCATTCAATTTATCATGGTTTTCAAAACTGGATTGGACCGGATGGTCGCACTGAAAAATGGGGAACCAGTTAGATAACCGGTTTTAGTTTTTCCTAAAACCTGAATTTCTTCAAAAATCATTAATTTTGGTTAGCAAATTGCTGATTCAGGTGGTTAATCGTTTAAACGGTTTTGACCATTTTTTTATTTTTTAAAATTTTTTTGTTAGAGCGGACCAACCGTTCGGTTCGAACGGTCGGACCATTTGACCCGATAACCGGACCCCTGATCAGTTCGGTCTCCAGGTCAGTTTTAAAAACCATGCAATTTATTTCAATTAAAAAATGTGTAAAATAAAAAATTGGAAATGGTTTTAGATTATCTTTTAAAGCCATTAACAGTGGAGTTTTATTTTTTTTCTTCTTGGTGACTAACAATGGAGTTGTTTGATTGAATTATGAACGTTTTGGACATTAATAGCTAAAGTACCCAGCACCTGGTGCGCCTGAATTAGCAATGAGAGTGAAGGAGTTGCTTGTGGATGCTGGTTTCAAAAATGTCAAGGAAGACAAAGCTCGTGGGCTTGACCATGGTGCTTGGGTCCCGCTCATGCTCATGTATCCAGAGGCCAATATCCCAGTGTGCCAGCTTTCTGTCCAAACAAACGAGAATGGTACTTACCACTACAACATGGGGAAGGCGCTGGCGCCCTTGAGGGAAGAGGGGGTTCTGATAATTGGGTCTGGAAGTGCCACACACAACTTGAGAGCCCTTCGCTTGGCTGCAGATGATGGTTCTGCCATCCCTTGGGCTCAAGATTTTGATACATGGCTCAAAGAATCTCTTGTGAATGGAAGGTAATTTCTGTACTCAAGCAAATATTAGCATTATTCTAAGAAAACAACAACTAAGATGGTGTTTAGTATTGATGGTGCTTTTGGAGCATAGATGCCGATTCAACGCCATATAGGCATTTAACAGAAAATTGCTAAAATTGATGTTTAATTGAGTCGTTTAATTGATAAATGTGTCTCGATTTATGTGAGAGCCGTTTATCAAAAAAATATGCTAAAAATAATGTTCTTCATTTTTAAGGGTGTTTTTTTACTGTTTGTTTTATATGGGTCTAATGATGGTTTTTAAAACTGACTCGGAGACCGAACCGGTCAGAGGCCTGGTTACTGAGTCAAACGGTCTGACCGTTTGACCCGAATGGTCAGCCCGTTCTGACAAAAAAATAAAAAATTAAAAAAAATTAAAAATTTTGAAAAACGATCAAAACAGTTTGAACGGTTCGAACGATTTACCCGTCGTTCAGAGGTTTACTGACCAAAATCAACGGTTTTGGAGAAAAATCCAGTTCTAGAGAAAAACGGAACCAATCAAATGACCGGTTCCCGGTTTTTCCGGTCTGATTGTCTGGTCCGATCTGATTTTAAAAACCATGGGTCTAATGGCATCTAATGGCATTTATTGGCGCTGAGGTGTCAAAAAAACATTTAAAGTAGATTTTGTTCCGATTTTTGAGACAAAATCATACAAAACGTTTATTAAATAAATAACATTGATACTAAAACTATTCATGGGTTTCTACTTGAATTTAGCACTAAAATCATTATTTGCAGACATGAAGATGTGAATAACTATGAGGTGAAAGCACCCTGTGCAAAACTTGCTCATCCATGGCCGGACCACTTCTACCCTTTGCATGTTGCCATGGGAGCCGCAGGCGCAGATGCAAAGGCGGAACTCATCCACCATAGTTGGAGCCTTGGTACACTTTCTTATGCCTCTTATCGTTTCAAAACACCTCAATGATTGGTCATTTGCTTTGTCAAACGTTGGTTTTGTATTGTAATGGTAATGGCTGTTCAGCATGATCAGATAGATGATGGTTAATGGTGTTTTTCTTTTTCTTTTTATTTTTTGATATTAATGTATTAATGGTTGTTAATGGTGTATTAGTACTTGGGACTTCAGTAATCTCTCCATTTGTGTTAATTGGTAATAATTTCAACCATTACCAAATAAGATTACTTTTAGAGTTAAATATTTTTTTTCTTTTTTTATGATTTTTTATATTTTATTATATTGCATTGATTCGTTTTGCATTCTCAATATTGTCATCCCTTTAGGAAGAATAGTCTCAAAGTCATGCAACTAGGTCCTGCCTTCTTCAGGCTGTTTTTGGTTTGATACGAAATAAGAGAGAAATAGAAAATTGAGGGAAAATTCTTTTAAAAAATTATGAAATCGTTGAGCATTTAACCTCAATTTCTTTTTCTCTTATTTTCTATCAAACCAAATATATTGGAAGGGATTACTAGTGGGAAGGTGTTAAATTGCTTATTTTGACAACTGTCAAAAGTGGGTTTTAATCTTTTTCAAGAATGCGGTAAGGGTATTTTAAGGGAATGGCCATTCATGGTGGAATGGCATTTCCCCATTTGAGGGAATGGCCATTCCCTCCCCCTCTCTTGGTAATGAAATCCCATTCCTACTGATTTCAATTTTCATTTCCATTCTTGTCTGAACCAAATAGACTGGGAATAGACCATTTCGACTTTGATTTCAAAGATTTTCAGTTCTGATTCCAATTGCAAACCAAACCCCCCTTGGTTTCTAGGGATTTCAAAGATTTCAAAGATCGAATTAGGGTTTCTAGGACAGCAAGAGCAAAGAGAGAGCTGAAAGCATAGAGTAATTTGGAGCAATTCGATCTCTCCTTCTCTTAATCCTTAAGCAACACTACTCCTAATCGAATTAGGAGGTTTGATCCAAATCTTTATTTGGATCTAGACTCTATCAGTAGATAGGTCTTATCCTCTTGTGAGAATGGGTGCTCCAAACCTAGATCCAAACCCATATTTGGCCATGTCACATGACAGCTTAACATATCATGTGACATCTTGATTAATCATATTGATCATGGGCTTTAGGCCCATTAACTAAGTGGCTCACGTCCCAAGAGTGTTGCTGGCCCATTTAGGTTTAATTTGTATAGCGTGGGATCCCAACAATGATCTCACATAAGCCCACTTGGGTTTGGCCCAACCTCTATGAAAAGGCCTGGCCGAATTCATTGCCAAATGCAATGAACCCGGGCCCAACATTTATAGTYAAATGATCCCTAAGTCCAACCATCCTATGAAAGTCCAAGGATAATGGACTTAAGTAAGATATAACCCTTCAGGTAATCAGCCCTTAATAGTCTCTTACACTTAACCTTTTAGCCCACAATGATCAAACACTGCCCGACAGAGAAGGACATATCCCCTGCAAGGTGCAGTGTCACACTTTGTTTGGATGGGTCCCGGGAATTAAAACCTTTTTGCAAACACTTTTTTTAAAACATAATATATATATATATATATATATATATATACATATAAATATGTTTTGCAAAACAAATCTCAAGCATGGTTGAAATCCATTGCTGGTAGTTTTGGTTTCCATCAGAGAGAGTGCAATCCCGATCATTCACTTTGTCTGACAAAGGGGTTGATCCTATCACTATGATCACCCACTAAAGTGAATTCTCAGACTGCCCCAACATACCCAAGTTTCAACCCCCAAAGGACCTTACTGATTAGCATGTCAAATATAGCTCGATCCGACACCCAATGCTATAATCAAGTCTAGGGGTTATGTGTAACTTTCCAGTTTTGTCCATCAGTCTCCATGATCTATGACATAATTGGAAAATTGTCTGAATTCAGTGCTTCAAACAAACACACTTTTTTTGATAAATCCAAGCGGTGCTACACAAGCATGGGGGTAGCACGTCCCCAAGAATCACTTTTACATATAAAACCAAGAGGGGGAGGGGGATCCTACAAATCAAAATTTGAAGAGTCTGAAGGACTGAATTGGGCCTGATGAGCAAGCCAATCAGCAGGTTGATTCGCCTCACAAAAGACATGTCGGTACTCTAAACCAAACTCGAATTGGGTTTTCAATGCAATGCAATTTTCAATGATGTTTTGTATGCTCCACGACGGATGAGTTTCTCCTCGAAGACAGGAAATGACAAGCTTTGAGTCCCCTCCTATGATTATGGGACAATCTTTGAAATTTAAAGCCAGATTATGGGCTTCTCATGTAACCCAGGCCTCTGCCATATTAATTGTGGCTTTACCTAGAAAATATGACTTTATATCTAAAACTTTCYCACCATAATTTCTAGCAATTCAAAGTTTATTTTGATTGCGTTGCATTTTGGGGACTTCCAGATAATCGGATGCCACTTCTTTAATATTTTACTATCGGGTTCATTTAGCTGAACTTTTACATTCTCACAGAAGGCCATTCTTGCTTTCTCCACAACCCGAGGAGGGGGAGACTCCACCTTTTTGAAAAATCTTTTTGTTTCTACTCTTCCAGATGGACCATAATATAACAGTCGTTTTTTTTAATTTATATTCTTGTCTTTGTTTCAAAATTTTCTCCCACCAAACTTTCAAATTTCCATCTTCATCATTTGGACCATCTAAGTTAGGGTAGACCATCATCCAAATCTGTTTAGAATAATTACACTGGTAAACAATATGATTTATATCCTCTAACTCACCACATCTATCACAGGTATCCTCTAGATTAAACCCCTTTTTCTTCAAAAAATCCCTAGAGGGGAGTCTACCCCTTAAAAGAAGGAGAAAAATTTTCAGTTTAGGGGGGCAGCATAGATTCCAAACTTTCTAATTAAATGAATCACTGATGTTTCTATTTTCCATAATTTTGGATATGTAAGCCAACTGGATGGAAAAATTACCTTTTGGTTCCAATCTCCAAATAAGTTCTTCATCCCTATTCAACGAGGGAATAAAGATGGATCTAATTTTATGCTAGGAAGATGTAGAAACTATTTCTCTAACTTTTTCCTCTCTCTACACTTTCCTTTGTTCATCAATACATTCACTAACCATTAACTCCAGATTTTCAATGATTCCACTATTATTTTCTTCTGGAATGGATGAATTTCCCATCCAATTTTCATTCCAGAAATGTATTGATGTATCATTCCCTAACTTCCATCCTATTCCCTTTTTCATTTACCCATTGAAGTTTTTTCAGCCCCATACCACCCCATCTTTTTAGGGAGCAAACGTTTTCCCATCTCATAAGGTGCAACGGCTTTTTCCCATTAGGACTTACTCCATAAAAACTTTTTTTTGGATTTTGTTTATATCTTCAATAACATTCACTGGGACTTTGAAATTTCTCATTATGAATCGGGGCATCATGGAAATCACAGTCAATAAGAACAACCCTACCAGCCATAGAGAGAAAATTGCTCTTCCAACCTGCTAACTTTGAATTTATTTTCTCCCTAACGTAGTCGAAAGTATTCTTTGTGACTCTTCCCTGTATCATCGGAGCTCCTAAACAAAATTTTGATCCCTTATCTATGGAGACTTTTAATACCTTTGCTAGGATTTTTCGGAATTTATGGGGAATATTTCTAGAGAAACTAACCGCTGATTTGGAGAAATTTGGGCATTGGCTAGAGGCCTCAGCAAACTTATTCAATATTTCTTTCATCTTCAAACAAGTCGGAAAAGTAGCCCTTGCAAAGATGAGACGATCATCTGCAAACTAAAGAATAGGGATTTTGGGCCCATTTTTTGAGGCCCTACCACCACTTGGGTTTTCATGACCATGTGATTCTTTTTCAAAWTTTTTTGCAAGGGCYTCCGCACACAAAACAAAAATATAAGGACCCCTGTCTTAAACCTCTAGAAGGTATAATAACTCTGGTGCGAGAGCCATTTAACAGGATTTGATATGAGACAAACCTAATACATTCCATCACCCACCCAATCCATTTCTCATGGAAACCAAACTTTCTTAAAACCTTCTCAATGGAGTTCCATTCCAACCTATCATAGGCCTTTTCCATGTCAACTTTGCAGGCCAACATTCCTACTTCTCTTTTTTTCCTCATGGTATGCATTATTTTGTGAGCAATAAGAATATTGTCAGTGATTTGCCTGTTAGGAATAAAAGCACTCTAGAAAGGGGACTTGATACCATCAAGAAGCGACTTGATTCTATTAACCAGAACTTTTGAGATAATTTTGTAGATTACATTACACAAGTTGATTGGTCTAAAACTGTTAACAAATTCAAGGTTCTTACTTTTTGGGATAAGGGCAATAAAAGTTTTATTTAGAACCCTAGGCATTTTCCCGGAGTGGAAGAAAGCTCTTACATACAAACATCTTCTTTTATAATTTCCCAATATTTTTTAAAAAATAAGGCATTTAAACCATCCAGGTCGGGGGCTTTTAGGTCCTTTATGGACATGAATGCTTCCCAAATTTCTTGGTATGACACCTCCTGCTGATAATTTCATTATGCTCCAAAGAAATTTGGTTATTTAAAACATAATAAATTCATTGATTCCTTTACTTTCTTCAGATTTGAATCTCTGATCAAAGGATTTACAAAAAAAAAATATTGAATGGAATTAGGGTCATCAACCCAAATACCCCCTTCRTTTTTTATTCCAAAAATTATGTTTTTTGATCTTTTCCTTGTGCCCATAATGTGAAAAAATTTTGAATTTCTATCACCCAATTTTAACCAATCAATCTGGGCTTTTTGGGCCCAGTAGGTTTCCTCGTATTCCAAAATTTTTTCAAGTTGAGTTTGCAAGGCCCTCTCGAGATTTGTTAGGCTTTTGTTCTCTGGATCATCAGTCAATTGTACATGTGCTTTGGGTCTAACCCTAGCAGTTGAGACAAGCTGCCCCAACTTCTTTGGCAGCACATTAGTATCAGCCTTGACAGGATAAACTCCCCAAATCTATCCAACGGCTGAGAACATTCTAAACTAACACGAGTCTCATAATTGTCCAGTTTAAAGGGGTAATTTCACAGAAACATACCAATGACAACATGAAACAATTATGTACTTTTATTCATTTACAATAAATGTATCTATACATCAATCATATTGGAACTAAGGGCATACACTGCCTAATAACTCTCACTCGCACTTATATCCAATCTAGTACAAGCTTCAGTCTCATACTGTCCACGTGTTTCTTA